ATTTGAAGCATTGTAATTGAGTTAATCACCAACTGTTTTAAATATGTGTTCTAATTTAGTTCATTTCTCACCACAAAACTCTTCCCCAACCCCCCCCCCCCCCCCTCACTACGTGTTTGACCTTGTTCAAATAGATTGGCTCAATTTCTCACACCAAGAGGATTGATGAAGTGTAAAAATAAAAGCTTTTAAAACCATTTTCACAAAATGTGATGTCTTTACACTGTTCTTGAATCTCAAGGTAAATGATTAACAATCTAGCTGAAACTTAATCGAATATGCAAAGAACTTAATCGAATGAATAAAATAGAATGAATAAAAGAGAGTAGGGATCAGAAAATTCAACCGTTGTGTTTTTATACTGGTTCGGCCAAGCCTACATTTAGTGTCCTTCCAACCACACAAATCAAATTCACTATAAAGATCAAGGTTTTTACAACAAGGTTTTTATAGAGACTTCACGTCAAAAATATAAAACACCTCTCTAACCCTCTAATCTAATATAGACAGTAAACAACAAGACCAGCAGCAAGAACACCCTCTTCTACTGTTTAACCCTTTGAGGAACCGTCAAAGTCAAGAACACCACCGTTCTTCTTCCTATAATCACAACAGGTAAACCAAGCCAATCTTCAAAAGATTGCAAATCCTAATCACACGGTAAACACCCAAAATGTGCAGATTGATCAGAGTTTTGAAACACATCAAGACTTGCTCCTCAAACTTTCATGGGTGTAGTGATGTTTTAAAGGGTAGAATGAATATCCTAGGATGGCTAATTGAATTTACGAGACAAGTGAGCCCCTCTCAAGAGACCCAAAAGTCTTGGCCAAAGACTTAATATCCAATACCAACCAAAAATGCACCAAGCAACAAGAAAAATAAGAAGCAATAAAACAAATAACTATTACCTCCCTTAAGTAACCAAGGCATAAAAAAAAATTTAACTTCTCTTCTGCACGTGCACATAGAAATTTAACACAATTAGAAGAAACAAAGGAACTAAGGCAGTGTTTATGAAAGGAATCGAACTCAAGGTCTCAAGCGCCCTTTTCGATGATAATATAATGTAAACAACACTACCCAACTCTTATTTTATGCATTTTCCAAAATTAAAATGAAAACTAATATTAATTAATTTTTTCTTAAGACTTTCTTCACATCATAATTAATTATTTAGCATCACAAATATAATAATGAAAAAAAATATTTTTTACGGGTCTTACATAATTAAACCACATCAGGACATAATAGAAACGTGTTTAAAAGCGAGTACATACTAACCATTAAATTTGGATACAAGTAAGCAATTAATTAAGCATTTTTTTTCTAATATTACTTTTATTTTACTTTTTTCATTTCCACGGTTGAAAAGATCTAAACATTATGAATACAACTAAATAAATTATGTATAGTAGGATATCTTAGCCGAGCGGTTATCAACAATGAACCGAACGAGCAACTAAACGGTCGCTTCAACCCGAACGGTTACCAATAGTGAACCGAGCAGATATCAAAAAATAGTCAAACGATCGCTTCGCCGAACGGTCTGTTTGGTAATTATAACAACCACTCGCAAGTGAACGATCAGATAAAACCAACTCAACTTGCGAACAATCGTCAACCACCTAGACCAAACGATCGCCATATCACTGAAGATAATACTAACGAGACGATCGGTTACATTATACGCTCGTCAATGTCGCCTTTAACAGCGATCATCCACCAACTAAATAAGACGACCAACAAGGGTCAAATACAATACAATGCCAAATCAACCCAGTCAAACTAGAGTCAACAGACTCTCGGTTATGTTTATTCAGGCTGGATCAGTTAATCCGAATAAACCAAGGAAGAAGCAGTGAAAAATATCTAACTATGATAGCGCAAGTTACGGAACTAACTAACCAAGTATCAAAGACGAGGATCACGACCAAGCGGCTGGATTTTCCAACTAACCGGATTTTAGGTAAACGGTTTATCTTACTTGTAGGTTAAATACGAAAAACCTAAAAGGTAAAAGGTACGTTTTAATGATTCCAAAGGGAGAGAAAAATATTGATTTTATTACGGAACAAAAAGATTCTATCATTCACTTCTAACTTGAGCGTCGGAGTGCCTTCGCAGATATCCCCTCCATTCTCCTCGAAGAACACTGTGCAAGAAGTAGGAACAAGGACAACAATAACGTGAGAAGGTTCAGACGTCGTCCATCAGGTTCATATCTCGTTCCCGACGACTATACTGAAATATTTATTTAAAATAATAATTACTGACATTTAACAAATAAATTTGTCTACAACTACTTTACATCTAAATTAAAATTCAATTAATCATAATCACTACACAAAACTCAAGATTAAAGATCATATATAAGATAGACTAAACGATAAGCACCATTAAGTTTTAATATCTTAAAAAGTATACTACCAACTTATAATGAAGTTCTTCAATATGCTTATGTTCAATAGTACGTTGTTGATAAAAAAAACTCTATAACAAATATGATATATGTATTTTTCTTTTCATAGTATATTTTTGAAACACTAAATAAATATGTTATTTTAGAATATATGTACTATTATATTACCGATAACAATGAAGATTCGAATTAGTCATGGTCTACATTCAATGTATGATAATAGTCATTTTTATTATGACTTATTACATTAATATATAAAATTTAAATAAATTAATTCTTTAAAACATTAATAAAAACGATTATAATAAATATTTTAGAAGAGATTTAGCTTGAATTATGGGTTAACGAAGTGAATTTAGTATCTAAAACATTACATACACTAACAATACTAAGAGGAAAAATGAATTGAAAATGCATATTAATTTTGCAGTTAAAACATAATTAACCTTGTATTTCAAGTTTCTTGTTTGCATTTGAATTTTATTACTACTTTCCTCATTTCATAGACATTTTCTTGAAGATTTCTTACAAAAATTTGAAATTTTTTTGAAAGAAAAGTGTTCTTTTTTGTTGTTTTTCCTATGAATTTTAATCGATAAGTAATAACTTCATAGATAATTAATTATCTTGAAATTTAAAAATTCACAAGAAATTTCTTGCAAACTTTTTATGATAAATATTGGCAGCAAATTTTCCTCCAAAAACGATTTACAACAATTTTTCGTTACAAAAAATCAATTCAAAAACAACGTATACTTTTCCTTGCAAATTTAAATTTCACAAATAATTTTCTTGCATGTTTTAAATTTAAAAGTAATTTCTTGCAAAAAAAATTCACAAATAATTTTATTTGTGAAAATTAAATTTGTAAGTAATTTTTTATTTTTCGAATTAAAACATTTCAAAAAAAAATTACAGTAAATTTTAAAAAATGTATAATTTTTATTTTTATATTATTTTTAAATGACAAAATAACATGTAAAGAATTTATTTATTTTACTATTATTAATACTTATTATGAAATCAGTACTTAAAATACACAAAGACAATAAATATTTTGTGCATAAAGACACGATTATATTAATTAAATAAAAAAAACAACAGTTTATTAATATATTTAGCCTTTCTACACAATAAGTTATACTGAATAACATCGTTCATCAAAACCTCAAAGTTAAGAATTTTTTACATAAACTATTTCAAATCTGTAAAATATTCTTCAAAATATATCAAAGAAATCATAATCATTTCCAAAATGACATCAACATAGAAGGAAGATGTTAAACTGGTGGTAGTACTAGAAAGATGGAAATAAATTGGTGTTAGCTCAGAAAGTTGGTCATCGGCAATGCCAAATGGTTCTAGACTACTCCTATCAAAAGCTCCATTTCCACACCCTACGTTTTCCTTCTTCTCGGTCTCTTTCGATGCTAAATATTCGATTTCAAATTCAGCAGATATGTCCAACTGAAAAATTTTCAACAAAATTTGCATTGGTTAAATACATATTCACAATTTATTATGCAGAAAAACCAAGTGATTAGCATAATGGTACTAGAAAACCTGTGTGGCAGAACCTATGTCCAGTGGCACAACAGAGCCATTCTTAACCACAATTTCTTCAAATTCGTAACTGCTAACCCTTAAGCTCTCTATTTCTTCCGCTAGCCACTGAAGCAACCGGGCTCTAGTTTTATTGTCAAATACCACATGCAGTACCCAACCCCACTTTTTCAAGCATTAATATTTAGAAGGCAACCAAATATAAGAATATAGTAACCCGATCGACCAATCCACATCTACCAAAATTTTTACAGTGCAAATGCCACAAACAAAATAAATAAATCAAGAGTTTGTTAGTTATGTAACCCTACCTTCCAAATCTCTACAATCTGAATTAGTGCTATTATGAGAACCCAAATGATGATCAAACATCACGACAGGACAGTCTTATTCTGAGAAAAACATACTAAAATTATTAATTCAAATTAATTACCCCAACTCTTTATTCCATATGGATACTGCTATGCAATAAATGTATGAGATTGAAGCCATGATTTAATTGCTTGGGATATATCAGCGTTTGAAAATAAATTTATCCTCTAGGCTATAATATAATTCGGTCCCGACCTAAACAACTGCACTCAGAATCAAAAATACATGCCTTGCTACTTATGTATGTCATCTAGAAAATGACATCTTTCCCTCCCCAAAATCAACATATATCTTCCACAACAACAAACCCAAACCCAACTTGAACTGCATAATAAAAACACCTCTGCAAAGAAACATGTGGCAATTGAAGGCTTATGTTTGTGATCAAATCCTAAAACAAAAAACATCATACCTAAAGAATAAAAAATATATCCAACCCTTGTTTGAAAGAGAAATACAAGAGACAAAGATCATTTGATGATGCTATCATCCTTCATTAAAGCCTGCAATAGATTATAAATTATGCAATGGATGGATGCTATCTTCACAAAAACCGTACATTCACCATGGACATAAGATAAAAGATAATCTTTAACAAAGATGAGAATCATAACACAAGCATCTCTACAAACCCACCCAGTCACCCACTGAAACTCAGTTTCGTAGGGATTGACCCACCAACTGTCATAATCTGTTGCTCAAGCTGCATCAATAATTCATAAAAGAAATATAAATTACAAATCCAGAATATAATTAGAAGGATATTCAATTTTTTTAGTTTTTCCTCTGGTTAATACCCTGAACAGTGTTTCAAGCTTATTCTTGACAAGGCTCTTGCTTCACTTGTTGCAAACATCTAAGATACCTTTGGTGATCAGAATCTTTCATTGATGAGACCATGAAATCAGCCAAACTAGCACAGTTGAACACTTAAAGCATGAGTAGCTTATTCATTCAAACTTGGCACTTATCCTTCGAGACGCCAAAAACTATTGAACAACTTTCTGAAGATTAACAGAGGCAAAATAATGTAAAACTGAGTTAAGCTAGCAAGAAGGGAAAATGTGCAAATCTGGAAAAATGAGTAAAAACAGAGGCAAACTATAGAATAAGAAGTAACTTGCCATTGAACACGAAACTCTTAACAATGTGAAACATTTTATTTTGGATTTGTGTTACATTCGGCTAGGTTTTACTTGAGCTAAAAACCAAAGATACAGTGAATGGTTGACATGATACACAGTAAATGGTTGACATGATACATCGTAGCTTTTGCCTATACAATTATGACAGAGACATCAATATCCAATAAGTGTGTCAGATACTTGGATACATCAAAATCTAATATATATTATTATTCTAAAGCGTGTCACAGATACTTAACTGACTTTGCTTGTTAGCAGCTTCTTTGTAGCATTGCACCTTGTCAAATTATACCAGGATGCAATGCCATAGTAATTGCTTAGAAAATAGTAGATTAAAATTTCAGTTATAATAGAGTCAAAATAACTTTTATGTTAACTCTCGCTAGATAGATATATATGTCATTTACACAGTTTTCTGTTTATAGCTGTAAATTTAATTTTAGAATGTTTTGGATTTTAAGTTAAAGGTGATATTTAACTAAGTAAACATATTGAAAAATCTAGGTTTTATATGATCTTCTATAATGGTACTTACAATTACATTTACTTTTGAATTAGTAGAATCAGGCCAAAATGTCAACTATATACTAGCAGTTAAAATGAGTATTAAGAAGTGGACTTTAAACCTAACTCAACCCCACAAAACCGACTTGTAAGATGAGGTTTGTACCCACTTATATACTCTATAAATTAACCTTATCTCTAGTTGGAACTTCCAACAATGAGGAATCATATTTACATAACCTTTTATAAAAGTTGTACAGAAGAGAATGAAATATATGATAAAATAATTTACATGATTAAGAGAGATAGAGAACAAACAGTAACACTGCAAATAAATAATAAAAGATTATTGCATTGACAATAGAGACATACTAGTTAAAAAAGAGTTTGAAAAAACACTAGCAAACATGTCTGCGACGTTATAAATAGAGTTTAGAACTAACCTATGTTATGAACATTAAAAATATTTAAAGGTTTGCTCATAATTTGATAGATTTCTTTAGGTAAGAAATCAATCTCTCACAAAAACAACACTCTCACACACCCAGATTACTGGAAACAAGACTGTATTATTCTTGCAATCAAACAATACAAAGAACAGTAGCAAAACTCTCAATTAAACTAGACTAAGCAAATTCATTTCATCAATATATAGAGCTGTATGTAAACTAACCTACCTATTTCCTAAGAAGAATCAAAACATGGTACCTATACTAACTCATTCTAGAGGAAAAACAAAACTATTTGCTGGAAATTGTAAAACAAAAATTGTTAAAATAACTACATCAACTAAAACAAAGATATTCTAAACTAGACTCCACTAGGCTTAAGAGGGAAATAGGTATGAACTGGGTATAATCTCACGCTTAATAAAGATCAAAGCACAAAAGGGTAATCTCAATTTTAATATACTTCACATTTCATCAATCTTGTTTTCCTTTTTCACACTAACTTAATGTTGCAAGATGATTTTGGTGTTGGGACAGTGATAGAAGACAACAATGCAAGAAATTTGATGGCAATCACAGCTCTAAAATCATGCCAAGAGACTTTGGACAAGTTGAAAGACATACAAGTTCAAACAATCAAAGAAGCTAAAGAAAAGTATCAAAGGGTTAAGAAAGCCCACGAGAAGTTTGAGACCTTAAGATACCCACCATGTCCTACTCTTGAGAGCTGCCGTCAAGAGCTGCAGTCGAGCTCCACCGTTGCTGCCGTCAGTGTTGCTGTCAAACTTCACTGTGCTGCCGCCGATATTGCTGTCGAGCTCCAGCAGTGAAGAAATGTTTGTGTAGAAGAAAATGTGCATTTGAAGGTTGCCCCAGCCCTAGTGGAATGGCAATCCATTTCATAGGGCTGTGGGGCCAAGAAAATGGGCCTAAGTCTAGAAAAGGCCAGGGCTGGCCTTGGGACCCAAAAATAAAATGACAGGTCTAATTTTACACAACTGATTGTTGCAGATCATGACTCCAAAAACTATATCTGTGCCTAAAATATTTCTTTGATTAAGCAATCCTTTCAAATAGCTAAATACTTGTAGAGAAGAACCCTTGTCATTGTTGATAATGCTTTACCAAGAAATAAGTCAAATCATTAAATAATCATTTTACACTTCTCGATCCCTAATGTTTCTAGACACAAGCAACAAATATATAAATAGAATAACAATGTTATGAGTTAAAGATTCATAATTATTTATTATAGATCCACTTAGCCAGCCAAAGTAATCTTGGCCAGCAATGTTATTGGAATGAAACTGAAAGATTCAATGAAAATGGTATATATAACACTGAAACTTGACACTGATGCTACAACTAAGAGTATCTCAGAGACCATTAAAACTGAAATTAACTCACAAACACACAGTAGTGAAGTAGAACAGATATGAAACAAGCTGGTGCATATTCAGGGTTACTGTGTGGATGGATATCTGGAAGGACAGGGCTCCACCCTCTGCCCTTGGCAAGGATAAAGAAGATCATGAAGAAATCAGGGGAGGATGTTAAAATGATATCAGGGAACGCTCCAATTAATTTCTCCAAGGCTTGTTAGCTCTTCGTTGAAGACTTTGCACAAAGAGAACTTAACCTCAACAGTTATTGCCACTGATCTATTTGACTTTTTGATTACTTTGGTTTCCAACTCTGTCAGCCATGCACTTGGTGCCACCACCGTTGTCAAGGAGGTTGAAACTATAGATTAGTCTTCAACAACCTTAACTCAAAATACAATATTTGAGTTCTATATATGGCTATGTAATTAATCTAAGAATTTTATCATTGTAATTATGTAATTTCTACATCTATAACTAAGTAAGAACTTTATCAGCTGGTTATGTATAACCATATTTGAATGAAAGGAAGTTGTGCCATGATCCTTCATACACACAAGAAGTGGTATATCTCTAG